ACGAAGATCGATCTTCGTAGTGGTTACCACCACACCCCTGTTATCGTAGAGGACCAACCAAAGTCCGTTTTTCGAATGCGCTTTGGTCACTACGAGTTCACAATGATGCCATTCGGTCTCACCAATGCACTCGCCACCTTTCAAACGGTAGAAAAAAAAAAAAAAGGAAAACAAGGGCACAGTTAAGGCTTTCATTTCTAAATGCGTTTCAGTCACGATTTCGCGAATTTTGCTCCAAAGCGAGGAAAATCGCGAATGTATTCAACCCAGCTTCAGGGTTAGGTGAGGATGTGTTGTGTTCGAAGGATGCCTGAAGTGGATTTGGAACTCAAAGCGTGACTGCGCCCTAGTTACCAAAAAAAAAAACTCTCTCTCTCTCTCTCTCTCTCTCTCTCTCTCTCGGTGTGTGCGCGCACGCGCGCGAAAGAGAAAAATAGTGTGTGTGTGTGTGTGTGTGTGTGTGTGTGTGTGCGCGTGTGCGTGTGGGTGTGCGTGTGTGTGTGCGCGTGTGTGTGTGTGGGGAGTGGGGGGGGGGGCGACCCTCCCCCAACCAGCCAATCAACCAATCAATCAATCAATCAATCAATCATCAATCAATCAGTCCGTCATCAATCAATCAATCAATCAATCAATCAATCATCAATCAATCAATCAATAAATCAATTTTTTTTTTTTTTTTCCCGACCCCCCACCATCCCCCAACCCCCAAACAAACTTTTTTTTTTTTTTTTCGTTTTTTTTTTTTTTTTTTTTTTTCTCACTTCGGGGGGTAGCCCCTGACATGCACACCACCCCCATCTGTACGTACGGCTCGTACGATTGCCTGGGGGGCCGTATGTACGGACGAACAGCCGTATGTACTCCCCGTATCCGTATGGGGGGGAACATAGCCACCAGCGTGCCTGTCGAGGGAAAAACTTGGGCTTTGTGAGAAAAGTCTGGACAACAAAGTTGTTCGTGCACACCGTGAAGGGTGCCCCGTGCAGGTAATGACTGCGGTGTCAGGTAACATAAATTACTATGAAAATCTCACATTCATCGGTGTTGTAGTTTATCTCGACAGGCAGAAACCGACGGGAGTAAAAAGCGATCGGGCAATCCCTAGCTAGAGCCTCGACAGTCCTATCCTCAATGATGGTGGGAGAGTAACATGCCCATACATATATATATTTTTATGTTTTGTTTTGGGGAGGTTTCGTTACTTTGTACGGGACCGTTTGTATGGCCGTACAACCGTTCGTACGATCGTACGATGGAGGTCCCATACGACGTACCGGGGTTAACATAGGTTGCTGGCGTGATTTATCTAAGTTTAGTTTCACCACTCAGCCTATCAAGGATGAAACGAATCGCGTGGCCGATGCCTTGTCCTGCCATCCTAACCACAATCATGAACCCATCCACCTTGTTGATCACCACCGTTGACCAGTCTGTGATCGACGCATATCGCATTCAATATCACAACTGTCCGGATTATCACAAAATCCACGCGACATTGCGGAGAGGCAAAGATCATTCGTTTATACTCCCTTGGTGAGAACAGTCTCGTGTATTGACATGGTAGATCTGGTCAACTCGAATCACGTATATGCGTTCCGTCCACTGGACAACTCCGCGTCCAGGCCGTAGCAGTTCCATGACTAGGCAATTATCGGTCATATGGGCTTTAAGTTGGTCCGTGTTTACCGCCTATACGTATGGCCGAAGTCCAAGGACTTTGTCAAAGCCTACGTCGAGGAGTGTCTCACTTGCCAGGAGGTGAACAGTGCGAACCACTTTCCGTATTGGTTACTTGAACCTCTACCCATACTTGAGCATCGTTGAGAGTCCATCTAGATGGATTTTGTTGGTCCCTTCGGCCCTCCCACTGAGCGTGGTCATGATGCTATCTTGGTTGTTGTCAATCGCTTCACGAAGCGTGCACGTTTTGTCCTGTGCCGCTATCATATTAGTGCTCGTGGGATTGCCGACATCGTGTTCGACCGAGTCGTGAGAGATTATGACTTACCTCAGAGCATCATCTCCGATCGTGACTCACGCTTTACCTGTGTATTCTGGCGACGCCTATACGAGGTGTACAAATCTCAACTCCACTTCTCTTCGTGTTACCACCTTAGACGGATGGTCAGACTGAGGTCACCAATAAAGTCTCGGTAATATTCTCCGAAAGTTTATTAGGGATGACCAATAGTGAGACTTACACTTAGCCCACGAGGAGATTGCGTATAACCACCCTGTTTCGCCAACCATGGGGATGTCGACCTCGGCTACCACCCTCACGTAACCGCGGATCTCCGAGGACCGTTGCGGTTGCACCCAAAGACTCGTTATCCTGCGCTTTACGACTAGATCGCTCACTCGGCGGTAATTATGAGGCGCACATACGAGAGTGTAGCAGACTCCCTGACTCGCATGACCGCACGAGCGAACCGATCACGAATGGATCATCCATTGAAAAATGGTGACGATGTGCTCGTCGACGCACGCCACTTGCATCTCGAAGGGGATACGCTTCGCAAGTTCACACGTCGCTTCTTCGGTCCATGCCGCATCCTTCAAGTCGTCAGTTCTAATACTACGACTAGTTCAGTCAGCTTCCGTGTGAAGCTACCTGATTACCTTCGAAAGGCTTGCGTACGCGATGTATACCACATCTCCTTGCTGCATCCTTATCGTAGACCGTTCGAGCACTTCGTCGGACGCCCTTATGAGCGCCCTCTACTTATCATAGTGGACGGTCACGAGGAGTTCATCGTTTCCGACATCGTAGTTCGCCGAGTTACCGACGATACCCCTCTCATTGAGTACCTTGTGCGCTGGAAGGGCTATCCTGATGACGAGTCTACTAGGGAGCCCCTTGAGCACTTGGAGCACGCGTGGATGTTGGTGCGTGCATATGATCGTGCTCGTCGTGCTGAGACATCTGCTCCTATTCACTCGACTGACTGTCTTCCTCCTCCGTCTGAGGAGATTGTTGAGGACGAGCCTGCTCCCTGTGAGGCCGTTCTTCAGCAGCAGACGAACGCCTTCACGCGTACACAACGCACTCGTCGGCGCCGTCGGCGCCTCAACCACTGACACTCTCATCACTTACCTATCTTCTGTCACCGACTCATACTATCATGTACTTTATCATCAGCTTCTTCAAGATGTTAGCGTTTTGCAGCTCTGCTTCGATATAAACTCAACCCCTACTTCATCGACGTCATCAACTACCTTGACGACTCGCCACCTTCTCAGCTTCAGTTACTGAACGCGATTACTTCACGCCACCACACTCCCTTGTGCATTCCTTTGTATATGTTGCATGATGGTTCTCACGTAGTTGGTTCGCCTTGAGTTGGGCTCTCCCTTGGTATCGCATAGGCATTGGGAGCGTAGCATTATCTTGGCTTCCCTGCTCCCAGATTTGGCTTCCTCCCTCGTCGGTGAGTGGTGTGCATGTTTCCCTAAACCACTACCCTCATCACCCTAGTGTCGGCCATTGCATGCGTTCAGTTAGGCATAGTATCTCCACCCTATTTGAGGTGTCCCTTTCATGGTCGATTTTGCATGTTGTCACCCTTTTGTTGAGCATTACCCGCCTTGATGGTTTGTTTATTAGGGTCATTGGTTTTGTTTCGCTACCACTCCCTCACCCTGAGCCTGATGACTTATCCCACCTTCGTGTGTGACTGCCCTTAGGAGTTTCGACTCTTAGGCTGCATTCACCCTCTCTGAGACCATCCCACTCTTAGTGGTTCAGCGACATGACATCATCTCGTGACAAACTGCTATCTTTTCCTTTCACTACCTTGAGGGTTCCAATAGCGAAAGGGCCATTTGGGCAAGCAGAGGCAGCCTGGGTGCCCAGCGTGGTAACCTAGGTTTAAACCACACGTACATCTAAGCTTTTTTTTTCCCAATGCCAATGTCTGCCGAGCACCAAGTTTTGTCAAACCCGGGCAGGCTTGAAATTAATCTTTTTGCACGGTGCCGCCAGCCTTCCTTGTGCAGTGGGCCAAGTCCGAAAGGATGCGGTGCGTTAACTGCCGCGTCAGAACAAAATAGCTGAGAGATGTACTGGTGGTTTAAGCTTGAAAGTTTCTTGTTTTCTTCACGTTTCTTTCACTACATGCATATTGTATTTAGAAAACCGGCCATGTGGAAAATACGAAGGCCCTTTTTGAGTCCTGTGGTACATCCTTCAGGGTTTGAAAAAAAACAGAGAAATTAAACATGGCCTGTCCACGGGGATGCCATCAAAGATTGAGGAATGGTTTTTGTTACAAATCTGGGCGGCATGCAATTCCCTAGCCTTTCTGGAAAGCCTTTCTGGAAATGTGAGAAAGTTTCGCTGTCTGGTGCAAATGATGCTCAACCACCCATACCTTTCCCGGCTTGCGGATCAAATATGCGCCTGTATATTCGGAAGTCAAGTGGTATCGAGCCGCCTTTGATAAATTTCATTGGCAGCACATTTTCTGTTGTGGCCCTTTTTTCTGCCCGCGGCCGATATATGAGAAAGGTACTGGTGGTTTAAAGGAGGTGCAAGGAGTGAGGGGGATGTCCATATAGAAGACAAGTAGGAAAAATGAGGAACCAACTTACTTGCTTTCCCAATTACGTTCGATGGCATGTCTGCTCAATTGATGGAGACTGTGTCTAGTGAGGATCCAGTTGATTAAACTTTGTTTTTCTATTTTTTTTTTAATGACATATCTGCAAAACCTCTTAGCAGGTGAGGACTGTGTTAGCTAAGTCTGCACCTGGTGGTCTGATTTTTGATAAGGTGAGCCAGTGCTCACATAGAGGTTTCCTATCCATTGGCGTGGTGCTGTGTATTCTGTTATTACTAAGAGTCATAGGCAAAATTGAAGTCCATTGTATTTCCTCTTCCTGCGTGTCTAAACTAGCACGTCTGTTAGACAAGAATGATGTGGTGACCTTTTCAGTCCGAGCTAACTGAGATATCCTTTGGCTTTCTCTCTTGCCCTGCTCTGGGTCTATCTTGCTTGTAGAATATTGAAGCCCTCCAAAGTGCGGGTGTTATGCAATTACTCCGACCTCTGCTGCTTGACAATGTGCCAAGTATCCAGCAATCAGCAGCTATTGCACTGGGAAGGCTCGCGAATTACAATGACGATTTGGCGGAGGCGGTTGTGAACAATGAGATCCTGCCTCAGCTGGTGTACTCTCTCAGGCATGCATACCACTTCTCCTAAGCACGAAACTGCCCTCAGCCTGATGATAACAACAGACCAGATGTTCGAATCCTTTGACTGTGGTCCAACTAGAGTGTGCTGGGAAAATCAATGGAGTTCTTGAAGTACTAACAACTATAAGAAGCTAGGCTACCAGAGTGGCCCGGGACCACTTGCCCCGCCAGGCCAATATATATATCTAATATTTGACGATATATATTTGTTGTATTTTTTTATTTTAAATTTGGTAAAGAATCCTGATGTGACCCTGAGGTAAAAGTTGTTCAGTTTATTTTTCTGCATTTTTTTTCAGTTTTTTTTTTTTTTTTTTTTTTTTTTTTTTTTTTTTTTTTTTTTTTTTTTTTTTTTTTCTGCTTGAAGCTTTTTTGGTCCTTGCTCGGCCAGGTCCCCTGGGCAAACAAGATGACCCGGGCAGCCCGGCTGGTAGCCTAGATAAGAAGTCAATTTTCACTGGGATGTGGATTATAAACTGGATATGGGATCCAGTGGGACTAGAGTCAATGACACGAATGGCCCATTTTTAGCCTCTTAATTATCTTCAACCGCCAGTACACGGCCCCAGCCTTGCAGAAAATCGTGAGTTGTGAACTCCAAACTTTTTGGGGCTTGTGGCTACCGGACCACAATGGCTGGCGGCTCCAGCCAAAAAAGAAAAAAGTGTGCTGCTGGCGGTTTGGAAAGGCTTGGAGCGCAGTGCAGCACCTCCAGGCCTGTCTGTACTGGCGATTTAAACCACCACTCCAACCGTCCCTGCGCTGTTCATTTTTCTTGTCTACAAGTACTGGCCCAAAATCTACAGTGCCCAGTCTCTGCACTACAGCTACTTTTCCTTAGGGCGACACTGTAGATCTCAGGCTTGGGGCAATGCAACTTTTGGTTCGTCGAACAAGTTGGATACACGGATACAGGGGAACTCAGAAGCTGGGACAGGGAAAGGGAAAGGGAAAGGAAGGTAGATGGATACCACAAGGAAAGTATGCAGAAGGTACAAGCAAAGGAAGCTAGGGATAAGCAAAGGGATATCAAGGGATATCAAGGGATATCAAGGGGACACAAAGGGATACCGAGGGACACCAAAGGCTATAAGTATTCTGAGACAAAGAGGGGATGTGATGAACTATGCCGCCTTAGAGACTGTCTCGAACGCGCCCCCCGCACGCCGCCTCCCTTGGGATCCTTGCGCTGCGTGACTGGGTGCTGCCCGTAAGCTTCCTGGCGAGCAGAAGCACCCCTGAAGGAAGGACAAGGCTTGGGGGGTTGGGACGATTTGTAACAGCCCCTACCTTGTGCAGGCGACTAGTGCCCCAAGGGCAAGGCTGTCTCTTTTTCTTACGCTATTAGGCCTTATCCGCATGCTTGCCAGTAATAAGTAACTGGACTGACGCCTCCGAGAAGAGAAGGGGCTTGTTGTTTTGGGGAAAAACAAAACAAAACAAAACAAAATAGGTCCAGATGGAATGGTGGTCTGGCTGTAGTGCTAGCTGTGCATGATGCTCATCATTAGCTGAGGGGATGCCGATTGCGAAACAACACTCCAGTCAAATGTGAGGCACAAACTGAAATGAATTCAAGAGGGATGAGAGCAAAAGCAAGCAGCGAGAGAAAGAAAAAGAAAGAAAAAGAAAAACCGCAGGCCGCATGGGAACTCTTAAGTGTGGCAGTGAATCCCGGGTAGTGCTTCGACTCTTCAGAAACCCCTAGGTGCCACTACAGATGCGTCAAGCCATAATCTGCACTGACCACCAAGGTCAAGGTGGACTATCACCTACCCACAGCCAGACAACAAAAAAACTCCACAGACTGGTTGTTGCAAGGAAGATGAGCATTAGCGAACTTCAGCAATCAAACCGCATCATACATATGAGCCCAGATAGTTTTGACCTCGAACCACAGCAGACTGGCAT